CTGTGCACTGCGCCCCACTGTCCAAGGACAACGCCTGGAGCTGCACACCATCGCCACCAGCTGGGACCGAGTGGAGCTGCCAGCCATACCAGCCTCAGTCATATGGTAAGACCTGCACTGGTGGGGAGGAGCATCCCAGCCGCTTTCCCCACTCCCGCCAGGCCTACCCACACTCCCCTGGCTCTGGGTTCACCCCCCACACAGGGCATTCAGGGAGGCAGGAGACAGTACAAAACTTTATTGAGCAGCCCATTCCCCCGTGGCATTGGCCTCACACACTGAGGAATGTATTGATGCTGACACTGATGTTTCCTTAGGCTGCAGGAGGTCACAGATATGTAGCACAGCCACAGGTAGCGCTCTGGGTGGTGGTGGAGCTTGTGGGGCAGTCCAGGCTGGCCTCCCACACCATCCAAGTGCAGGGCACCACAGCGATCAGCAGCAGTATGGCATAATGGGTTGGACACCCTTCAGTCCATGCAAACACTTCCTTCGGCATCATCTGTGACAAGCAGCAAGGGCATGCTCGGGGTGCAGCACCAGTATGGGGGGAGGGGGGCTGGCCCCGGGGCGCCTCCCTGGAAAGGCCCCCTGCAGGGAGGGTGGGGTCATGGGCAGCTCTTTGTCCTTGTCATGCCTGGGTGCCGTGAGCTTGGCAGGAGCACAGGTGGCCTGCAGGAGTTGAGGCAGGGGGAGAGGGAACTGGAGCCACAGCAGCAGGTGTTTTCAGGGGGCGGGGGAGCTAAGCTGCCTGCAGCCAGTACCCAGTGGCCCACCTGGGAGGAGGTCAAGTGCCACCTGCAGCAGCTAGAAACCCCTTGCCTAGCCCCTGCCCCAGGTCATAGGATAATAGAAAATTAGGGTTGGAAGGGACCTCAGGAGGTAGTCTATTCCAACCCCCTGCTCAAAGCAGGACTATCGCCAACTAGATCATCCCAGCCAAGGCTTTGTCTAGCCAGGTCTTAAAAACCTCCAAGGATGGAGCTTCCACCACCTCTCTGGGTAACCTGTTCCAGCGTTTTACTACCCTCGTGAGAAAATTCTTCCTAATAGCTAACCTAAACTCCCCTTGCTGCAACTTGAGACCATTGATTTTCACCCAGATCTGCTGTTTAAAAGAATATGGAGAGGGCCACCCCTTTGGGCCTTGGGAAACACAGAAATTCTGTGTACAGATGCATAGCGTGTTTAATTTCCAGGCCTCCAGGGTCCCCTGTCCCTCAGTCCCTCCCCCCGCCTGGGTCCAGGCCTGCCGTTTGCCCCAGCTCCACACAGGCTCTAGGCTGGAGTTGCCTGCAGTGGAGCCAAGACTGCATGCTATCCCTGCTGGCCTTGGACACCTGCTGCTGGAGGAGGAACTGTCTATGCCAGGAGATGACTGGCCGCCATTGCCCCTGGGCAAGCTGTCCATCCATTGGGCCAGGAAGTGGTACCAGTTCGGTGTTAAGAGCAGCAGATCTACTGCCAAGTCCCTGCATGTGTGGACACCTGACCGGGAGCATTTACTCACAAGTAGTTTACTTGCAAGTAAACTGATCTCTGCTCAAATGCCCCCACTTGCTTAGATTAAGCTTAGATTAAGCTGAAACATTCATTTTCCTGATGACAGACTTATATCCAGTAGGGCTCTGAGCTGAGAGTGGCATTGTTGAATCCTCTGTTACTGGGTGGATATTTATTCTAATTATTGACCACAAACAGATTATACATTATGTTATTTTTGCAATAACAAGAGACAAGCAGGGTCAGTCTGACACCGTTAGACTCCTAGAAAGCTGTCCCCTTTGTTTTTCATTTTATAATGCTCCTTGACTTAAAGGCCACAAAGGAGGTGTGCTTGCTAATTTGTATTTCACACTATCTCAGTTCAAAATGATAAACTGACATTTGCTTTGTATAATCACATTCCCTTTCTATATTATGATGAGCCAGGCCTCTGAATCACCTCGATTTACCACAGCCTTAAAATGCACTCCAACCTCTTACCTGAGTTTCTGATGCTGACATTTGCCTTAGCATTTAATTGTCAAGGTTGGGAGAGTTTCTTAGCACAAATATTTATTTTAAAATGTTGCTTATCCTTCCGATTGCAAATTTTCATTCATTTCTGATAACTAAGTGATTCTATTGAACATGCAACTATCTAGTCACTTTAATAACATATTCATTGGAAAACTAAGCATTTTTCCTAATGAAATTACATCTGTTGTCCTATCTTTCCCTACCATCCACTCCTTCCATTTTTTCATCTTTGTTTTGGTTGTGCCATACATATTGCTCTAACATACTCTATTCTGTTGCCTAAGGCATCTTCTGTTTACTGACTCACTACCAGTTTTAATTCCTCTTGGTCAAATTTCAAATGCTATTAAGCATTACATTATTCTTTATTTCAAGGAAAAAAATGTGGTAAGGCTGTGAAACCAACTGAGAGAAGCCGGAAACTGTCCTTTATTTATGCCACTGCAGAAGCAAAGATAATGTTAGGACTCAAGCAGGTCATTTCATTTACATGAATAGTCCTATTGATTTCTATGGAACTATTTGTATGGTTAAGGGTGTCACACGTGAATAAAGTTGTAAGATTTTGTTCTAAGAACAAATCCTGCAGAGTTGTATAGCACAGGAGACTTACAGCGTGATGCAAAAACTCTACCTGGAGAGGCCTCACTTAGAGTATTGTGTCCAGTTTTGGACCCTGTAGTTCAGGAAAGATATGGACAGTTTGAAAAGAGTTCAGTGCAGGGCAACACAAATCATCAGGGGCCTGGGAGGAAAGATGTATGAGGAAAGGCTGAAAAAAATGGGGGCTATTTAGCCTGGAGAAGTGAATGTTGAGGAGGAATTTGATAACAGTCTTCAAATACCTGAAGGATGATTATAGAAAGCATGGACACAGGCTTTTCTTTCTCTGTGGCGTAAGGGACAAGACTAGGAGCAATGGCCTCAAGTTGCAGTAGGGGAAATTTAGTTAAATATTAGTGGTAACCATCAATCCTTCTGGATCATAATGTATGCATGCGGGCCACCCAGACTGTCAATGCATATGCATGAGTAGGAATTTTTGGAGGAGTGTAGAGGCTGCTCAGACCTTCCATCCCCTCTTTAGGCCACTGAGACAGAATCCAAAGACCAGACTGAGTCCAGATGTTTGGTGCTTCCATAGCTGTAGTTGTATAAGTGTCTGGGAATCAAACCCAGATCTCTTGTGGTATAGGCAAGGATTCTACCATAGGGACTCTGGGCTAAATATTAAGAGAAACTTTTTGACAATGAGGGTGGTCAGCCATTGGAGCAGGCTGAGCCAGCCTTAGGGAAAATGGTGCCCTGGGCGAACCTATATTTTGGTCCTTCCCCCCCACCCTTCACACACACACACTTTAAAAATAAAGCTGTAATCAAATGTTTTTTTAATTTACTAAAAATATACAAAAGAGGAAATTATACAAAATTCAATTCAATTTGATTTTATTGAAATAAATGATACAAAAGTTATAAAAATAACATTATTGCTAAGTGACAAATAAACTAAACATTAAATTAAACACTAACAAATAGTTTCATAGTTTCATAGTAGTTTCATAGTAGCTAGGGTTAGGAGGGACCTGAAGAGATCATCTAGCCT